ATCAGGTGGCAAGGACTCAAAATGATATAAATAGAGGTGCTGACTCCACAAGGGAAAGGGGAAAGGGGGAGGGGGGAAAAGACAAGGCATAAATTGGGTGTGGCTTCACCCCAGTAGACTTAGTCCCTGGTCATAACTTTGAAATGTTTGAGATCCACACCTGATGACAATAAATAAAGTAACTAGGCATGGCTACTGACACAATCATGGTATCAAAACTGACCCTGGTATCTAGTCTTGCCTCTTAGTCCCTCGGTCACAACTAAATTAATATTGAAACAGTTGAGATACCCACCCTGTAACAATATATATACAATTGCTGAACATGAAGATTTGGATGCACATATACGTTCAGAATAAACCCTGTGGTCCAACCCCATCCTATGAACTTATTTTCAGTATCACTTTTCTTGAGAAATTTGCCTTGATTGTTAAAATATCCAAGTGAAAGATACAATCCATTTGGACCTCTTGTTTGGCTTTTGTTTACCTATGTCTTTCTTTTTGTAGATTAATTAACTTTAATTGATATTAATGCCTTGCAATGTAAGAAATTTAATATTATTTGTTGTCTGCAGATGATGATTTCAAATCCTTTCTTCTTCGTAAAACAATTATGGCTTGAACAGTTTGAAGATTCTTTGGTGAACATTGTACATATTTAATTAGGGCAATGTTGGCCCAGAAAGCCCTGATACAACATTTGGTACAAGTAGGTGTTTAGTGAGCCTTTTATATTGTACTATAAGTTAATAACTTCATTTCTATGAAGTCATATTCCTTGTTCTTTTTACCTTGCCCCGAATAAATTTGATACTTAAACATTTCAACAATGCTGGATACCTGCGTAAAACACCTCCTACACCTGATTTTACTCCCTCGTATATATGTCGAAACTGTGGGAGAGGTAAACATCCCCAAAACCAAGTTAATAAAAGACAGTGCTATATTGGAGGCCATTGAAAACTAATGTATTTTAATAAATTGATGTTAGCTGCCCTGTATCTTACCCTGTGTATAGATCAGTGATTCTAAACGTTATCACGTACATGTTATATGTGTTAGGTCTGTGATGACAAGGCTCTTTGTACTGATATTGATTCTTGGACGAGCCATGGGGTTAGGAGGACACGCCCTTCTTTACACACAGTTTGGATGAGTTTTGAAGTATTTTGATAATTACGTGGGTATAACATCCTTGGAATGTAATCAGTTGATGTAGGATAGTTTACTGTGTACTTGTTGAATATTTCAGTCATTTGTATCAACTTATTCGAAGCATCAGTGTCAATTTTATATGTAATATTTATATAAAATCAAACTTGTCTATGAACACCATCACATGAAGAAAGCAAAAAACAGACAAAATAAAAGAGTATAAATGTAACTGATAGGTTTTAATTTAATGATGAAAAAATTGCTCAAGGACTGTTAAACATATATCTTCAGTCATGGTAAAAGCTGAATGCATCAGATATATAGACTGAGTTTTATAGACAGGTGGTAGCTATAGACAGGTGGTTGTTATAGACAGGTGATAGCCATACACAGTTGGTAGTTATAGACAGGTGGTAGCCATACACAGTTGGTAGCTATAGACAGGTGGTAGCTATAGACAAGTGGTAGTTATAGACAGGTGGTAGCCATACACAGTTGGTAGCTATAGACAGGTGGTAGCCATATACAGGTGATAGCTATAGACAGGTGGTAGCCATAGACAGGTGGTAGTTAAAGACATGTGGTAGTTGTAGACAGGTGGTTGTTATAGACAGGTGGTAACTATAGACAGGTGGTAGTTATAGACAGGTGGGAGTTATAGACAGGTGGTTGTTATAGACAGGTGGTAGCCATATACAGTTGGTAGCTATAGACAGGTGGTAGCCATATACAGGTGGTAGCTATAGACAGGTGGTAGCCATAGACAGGTGGTAGTTAAAGACATGTGGTAGTTATAGACAGGTGGTTGTCACAGACAGGTGGTAGGTATAGACAGGTGGTAACTATAGACAGGTGGTAGTTATAGACAGGTGGTTGTTATAGACAGGTGGTAACTATAGACAGGTGGTAATTATAGACAGGTGGTTGTTACAGACAGGTGGTATGTATAGACAGGTGGTAACTATAGACAGGTGGTAGTTATAGACAGGTGGTTGTTACAGACAGGTGGTAGGTATAGACAGGTGGTAGCTATAGACAGGTGGTTGTTATAGACAGGTGGTAACTAAAGACAGGTGGTAGTTATAGATAGGTGGAAGTTATAGACAGGTGGTAGCTTTAGACAGGTGGTAGCTATAGACAGCTGGTTGTTATAGACAGGTGGTAGCTATAGACAGGTAGTAGTTATAGACAGTGAAAGTTTTAGACAAGTGATAGCTATAGACAGGTGGTAGTTATAGACAGGTGGTTGTTATAGACAGGTGGTAACTATAGAGAGGTGGTAGTTATAGACAGGTGAAAGTTATAGACAGGTGATAGCTATAGACAGGAGATAGCTATATACAGGTGGTTGTTATAGACAGGTGGTAGCTATAGACAGGTGGTTGTTATAGACAGGGGGGAGTTATAGACAGGTGGAAGTTATAGACAGGTGATAGCTATAGACAGGTGGTAGTTATAGACAGGTGGAAGTTATAGACAGGTGATAGCTATAGACAGATGGTAGCTATAGACAGGTGGTTGTTATAGACAGGTTGTAGCTAGAGACAGGTGGTAACTTTAGACAGGTGGCAACTTTAGACAGGTGGTTGTTATAGACAGGTGGTAGATATAGACAGGTGGTAACTATAGACAGGTGGTTGTTATAGACAGGTGGTAGCTATAGACAGATGGTAGTTTTAGACATGTGGTAGTTATAGACAGTGATAGATATATAAAGATAGCTTTTAGCAGTAAACCTGCAGTAGCTATGAATAAACAGGTGTTAGCTATAGACAGTTGGTAGTTATATCGACATGTGTGTAGCTAAACAGGTGGTATAGACAGGGAGTAGCTATATATAAAAGGAGTTGAACTCAGGCTGTTGGTTTTCTAGTTTGGCTTCAGATATTCCCTTGGTTGAACCATTAGATATGTTCATATCTGTACTGAACACTATGACAAACTAGCCTTCAGGGAAAGATCTTGTCTTTAAGTACACAATACCCAGATATGGAAACTATAATGTAACCAAGGTCATGTTCACACCTCTAGGTGTTGGTCGCCAGACTTGATGTACTTATAGTCTACAGCTTCGCACATGCATATAATGAACTTGAAGATGTATATTCATTAAGAATGAAATTTCATACGTCTTGATTCCATTTTCATAATTAAGAAAATTATAATGTATTTCAAATCCATGAACTTGAATCCTTACAATAACAGTAATACTAAGACATCTTCTGGGAAATAAATTTAATGCTGTTAACACCCTAAAATGTTCACATAAAGATCAGTATCTATTGAAAAAGGTATTGATAGGGTTTGAATGCTGTGCGGGGATTAGGTCATGAGGATTTAAAAATACCATGCGACTGCAATGGTAGTACTCACCACAATCTCTTTTCCCAGGTATGTGCATGTCACAGAGAGCATCATGCCCTAACTGAGCGACACAAGATGGTGGGTTGGGTGTAAGACAACTGGATCAGGATATACCACCCACTAACATGTGGGAGGTGGCTGTCATTTTGATATTTCTGCACTATCCTGACCTGTTGTAATTATCTCAAAATCATGATAGATATTCAAAATATATATATATATATTTTTTAGGAAATTGTTTCTCCATAGTTATTTAAGAACATCTCCAATTAAGATAGATATATTTGTTTTTCAGGAAATTTCTATAATCATTTAAGAACTTTTCTAAGATCAATGATGACAAAATTAAATGTATATGCATTGTGTTAGCAACAGAACATCAAATTCTCACTACCTTTGGTAACTATAATGTGGTTTATTACCTGCCTAAAAGGCCATCTGTCAACTTTTTTTTGCTTTTTAAAGAACTTGAATAACAGAGAGGCCTGATACTGGCTCCAGTAGCATGTTAGAGTGGATTGCTAGCAACTTTTCCAAAGGAATGACCTTGGCCAACTTTCATGGTCACTGGGCTCGAATGTGTTAAAACTTTCTCAGCAACTTAGCAGTATTCTGAAAAACCATAAGGCCAAGGGTTTGTTGATATTTTGCTTGTAGCATGTTTGGGGAAAGGATGTCAACTTTATAAATAGACGACCCTGACCCACTTTTAAAGTCAGAGGCACCAATTTTAACTTTTATGGAACCTAATCTTCTAAATGACCGAGAAGACTAAAGGCGAAATATTTTGCATGTAACATGTTGGAGGATGTGGGGATTAGGTTAAAGCTGCCAAATAAGTTTGACTCATGTTCAAGATCACATGGATCAAATCCAGTGAGCAATACAGGCCTCTTGAACCTCTTATTGGTCATCAAATCCCCACCACCTTTACCTTACAAAGTGTTCTTACAGGCCATCAAAGTTCTTAACCTTTTTTATACAAGGTATTATTATAGGATATCAAACCCAACAACCATTACCACTCAACCTGATATTGGATAGCATCAAAGCTCATCATCTTTACTGTAAAAGTGATATTATAGGCCTTCAAAGTTCCTCCACCTTTACCACACAAGCTGTTACTGGTTGTAGCCATCAAACCTCTACCATCTCATTAGCCAGATCAAGATGACTTGTTATGTTGACCTTTACTTGGAATATTCATGTTAAGTGATTGTATTTATTTTCAGGTATTGCCACCTGTTCTATTTTGTGTATCAAGTCCAGTGCAACCTTTCACCCTAAACTTTAATGATATCTATCTACCTATACTCCCTGTATGAGTATAGTCTTGCCTGTTATCAATATGGTAATCAGAGGTCAACTGGACAGGTCATTAGGAGGAGATCATTGTAGTTGTCATTTAAGACCTTCAATTGTCTGCCACCTCTACCGTAGTAGGTGCAGCAGTACTGATCATGTGTTGTCTGTTTCAGTGTGTCCAGACCTTACTAGCCAATGGTTGTAGTGCTGATATCACAGACAACAGCGGACTGACAGCTGCAGACCTCGCTGACAAGTGCTATCACACCACATGTGCTAAAGAGATTAAGGCTCAGGTAAGTCTCACAACTACAAAATCTTATACCAAACACATCGTAAAATACAAACAAAAGGGAGACATATTGATGAATCTTTTGCAATCGTGGAGATTTCTCTAATAGGAAAAAAATATAAGGCAGTCATACTTATTTTGTATCTCTGTAAGCAAAAGTATGACAGAAATAAAGAATCTAGTAGGAAAGGATCAGGTAAATCATTCCATGATAATAATTTTACATTTCCATAAAAATTGACAACAAGTTCAACAGTATAAAATGTAGAAAGAAACTGACTGAACATATGCGAGATAAATGAATGACCCTGAAGGCTTGATATATATCTACTGTATTATTGTCCTATGTAAGAGCCGGTGAGTCCTGTTATAGGTTATATACCAAAGATAATGATCTCTGTTGAAATGTGTAAATAGTACCACATATGTACATGTACTAGATGCCTTATACATATAGGTATACACTTTATTATTAGAGTTTCAATTTAAAAAAAAAAAAAAAAGTTTCTATTGTCAAGCTGAGTCAGGAATCATTTAAATATGATAATTTCCATAATAGTTATGTTAATTTAATGAAATTAGACATTCAAAGTAGGACTGTATATATATATTGTTGGGTGTGTACAGATATAGAGTTTAAGATAGAGACTAAATCAGACAGATGTATAAGTTATCTTCCAAACATTGGAATCCATTTTCACCCAAAACCAATTAGGACTAATAAGCACTTATTTGTACACATCATATTTCACCGATACTTGTACACACAATATTTCACAGTTATTTATGAACACAATATTTCACAGCCTTAACTTGTAAAAACACTTGAAATTATAATCATATTTCACTGGTATATAAAAAAGCAGCTTATTTTTATTTTCAGCTGTTAAACTTATATTTGTTTCCATGAGTGACTATAACTAGATTACAAAAATAGGACTTATCTTCATATTTTCAAAGTACCAATATAGATACCCTGGTTAGTACAACAACCCCAGCTGGCCTAGCCTCTTAAATTCATGCTAAGTAATTGTAAACTATACATTTTATGATTTCACTTTGAAGACAAAAGTGTTTATTGCATACTTGAGGCACAAAGTACAAGCATGCTTAATGGTTCACAATTTTTGCTCGTCTCACTTTTACTAGTAACCCATTTAGACCGATCACTGGCCTGATCAAATCAAGGTTGCCAACAAAATATTGAACATCTGGCTCCACTATCAAACATATGTATAGTCTGCCTCATACTTATTTTATTTGAAGCTTCTTTCACAAACATTTGGTAACCACTTAAGGCAGAGAGTTCCACCACACTTTCTTTTAACTCTGACAAAGAAGAGTTCTAATTTGTTTGGCACTTTTAGTATAGGAAAGATTTGTATAGGAATCAAATCTGGATTTTTTCGATGTTCATGCAAGTATGAGCGGGGAAAAATTTACTTACACACCACATGAGCGGCCATAGCGCTACTATTTTTGTGACATTGGGGCCTGATCCTTTAAGATTTGTAATGTTTAAAGCATGATTCCTGAATTAGAATTCAACAAATGAATATATGTTATTCTGAGTCTACTTGGAAGGTTCAAGCATGAAAACATGTTCACTTTCAGTATAATCTCCATTATATTAGATGGCTACCTAAATGTTGATACAAATCTGATTGTAACAGTTTTGGTTATAGAAGCCAAACAGAGAAATACACAAAGTTATTGTGTTTCTTACCTAACTCATTCACCCCTGATATGTTTTAATGAACTATTCCAACCTTTGAATTGGAAGAGTTCAAATGTGTCTCTATGGGTGAATGAGTTAACAGGAAGTTAGGTCTGTGTCCCTTAATAAGGAGTTGTGAACTTCAAAATCTATAATGAACAAAAATAACATAATGCCCCTCGTTTGATTCGCCACCGTGCTTTAAATTCCAGGATATTTCAATGTTGGCAGTATGAGGGGGGTTGCACTATGTAGTTCATATTTCTAAGCTCCCCTGGATTTATAATAAACAGATTTGGCTGTAAAGGTCTGGTGGCCACAGAATTGGAAACTAGTTTTATAGTTTTGTTGCAAAATCTCATGCAAAGAATCTTTAGTTTGTACAATATACTTTTATGCTTAATAAAAACATGTCCTACAAAATAAAATTTAGTGAATTACAAAAATGAAAATCCGCAAAATGTGTTGAAATAGACAGCTGTATAAAAATAGGTTTGCAGTATAGAAACTTGGAAATGCATTGCAGAATGTAGGTGTTGTGTAGGATGGAAGATTTCATTTGTGACTTTTTATGTATATTCTGTGGCACATACTTTGATTTCACAGACTTTTACTGATTTTGTGTGTTATCACAATTTTGACAGATAAAGGCACCAGTCAGCTACTACTAAGGTAATGCTATCACTAGCCGGGATGTCGTATGCATGGGAGAACGGAGAACGACAGCTCAAATATACCTATTATATTTACAATCCTGTATTTTATCAGTCATTTCCTGGTTTTATTGTGTGAATGTTTCCTTATCTTCCCCTTAACTCCAATTTCTACAGGAAGTTGTAATATTCTTGTTTTCTTAACTTTAGGATGTAGCCTGTTAAATGTTTCCTTCATAGAGCAACTTTTACCACCTTGTTCATAAATTATTTCCTTCTATTTTCTCAACCTGAATTTCAATTACTGGAGCACATATATAAAATCAAAAGTTATACTATGCTATGAATATAATCAAAAGTGTTTTTGTTATTACATTGATTGTATTGTCAGTAAGGTAGAAATATTAAACAGGTAACAATATAAACCACCTGTCCCAAAACATTTAGATCCCAAACTGTTTGTATGAGTGCATGTACAAATGTGATGCCTGTTTTATTATATTCCTTTTTTTAACATGTTCCCTTAACAAGTTTGATGAATGTGACATTTACTTTTGTCAACCTTTCCCAGGGGAGTTTCCCTTTACAGACCACTATGAAACTGATATCATTCAAGAATCAGCATGGAAACTTGCCGTAATAATTATGGGCAATTGGCAAGAATACGGCTCCAGTTTCTCAAGAGCAACTTCAGTTCGGACTCAAATTTTCCTAAAATGACATAATTCCATAAAAAAATTATTGGTTATGAATTTTGTTTAAAGTTTGAGACATAAATATTCCATATCTTTTCATTTCTACTTAATTGATTTGTTTCAAGAATACCCAAACAGGACCTTTGACCTAAAAATACATCTTAATTTGCATAAAAACTTTTAAAGTTGGTTTTTCTTCATTGATGAAAGTATTACAAATACAGCTTTTATTATTTTCATAAATGTGAATAGAAATGGTAATAAAACGAACATTCAAAATTTATTAGATATACATGTAATGCAATGATGAAAGAGAAACAGCAAAAGTTAATTTTAGGAAGATAGAAGTCAATGCAAATGTTGCTTTTTGAGAAATTTGGATCTGGTCTAGATCTGAAACTGATCAGTCAACAAGGACTGGTTTGTGCTTATCCAAATGATATTTGAATGCCTAACATCCTTGCTATTAGAAAGATATTATTGATAATACTCCGTTTGTTTCATTGCATTTGATAATATACCAGTAGTTTCACAATTATTTTAAAAATGTATTAAACCTTAAATCTGTGTTGATGCTTTCAGATGATTTTTTCGTATCGCTGTGTTTGCGTTTTGGGGGTTTGCTTGTAATGCAGATTGTATTTTTGTCTGGTTGATACTAACTTTTTGAATCAGAATAACTCAAATATATTGTAGTGATTGATAACTTGAAAATTCTAGAAAACAAAAATTCAAAATAGATATAAAGTTTAATAAAGATATTTGACATTGTAACAGATTATGCAACATTAAATAAAGGTTACAAACTCAAATAACAGCATGAACATTGTTTTGTTCAATATGAAGAAATACATGGAATCATAGACAAATTACCTGTTAAATTAAAGGATAACTTGACTAACCATAACTGATAATTGGTAAAATAAAAAAAGCTTGGTGATTGGGTTGTTTGGGATTTGGTGCAGCATGTGTGTTTGTTTTTGATATCCATAAATGCTTTCCGGCCGTATTTTCATTCAGTTTGAAAAGATATTTACTTGGTTTATATATAAATTTTTATTACATTTAACTGCAATCCGTATGCCTGTATACACAATTTACTTAAACCGTAGAAAGCTAGGCTTTTTCGTGATGTTAGTTAAAAATTTAACTTCCTGTTACCTTTTAAATATTTGTATATTTCTGTAGAATATCGTCCTTTTCCTGACCCATGGATGTGTCTGTATTCAGGTAAACAGAGTGGAGTTGTTGTACAACTTTTTATATCATGGATGTGTATTTTGATAGCATTGTTTGACATATTTTTGATGTCATAAAATTAAAATCAAATTGTTGTTCACAGTCTGATGATACAGTTTTGTTAAAGTTTAAAGAGAAATAATCTTTTTTATGGTTTGCACATGTACAAATATTGGCCTCGTTTTTTTTGCTACTAGAATATATTGTTCATTATATGAATGGCAGTTTGATAAAATGTATGTCAGATTACTCATCAAATTCTGTGTAATCAAAATTAATGCTATTCTATTTAAGAAAAAATCATCGTATGTGCATTTATCACATAATGTACTGTGTTATTCAGTGAATATACCCATGTCATATTTTTTTGCATATTAACCCATGTAATATGACCTATCAGACGTCATGTACTGGAGTCAAAATGGCGGCTTTTTTACATTTCAAAGTTACATGAAAATTGTCCAGTTTCACGAATAAATGCCACAAATCGTGATTATGTGATAAAAGGGATCTTACACTCGTTTTCATTTCCTATAAAATATATGAAACTCGTCACAAATTTTTCATTTTAGCTCGCCTGAGGCTCGCTAATTTGAAAAATTCTTAGACTCGTTTCATAAATCTCATATGAAATGGAAACTCATGTAAGATCCTATATATATATTATAGTGACACATATATAACGCGGTTGAGAAAATGG